TGCAGGGATGGCTGTTAATGCTGATTTGGTGTTTGATATCTTGTAAGTCAGGTTTTGCAATTCCATCGTAAATTATTGTGTATGATTGCGCAATACGGAAAACGTGTGTTGAAACACTTGGAAAGCTTATGATAGTATTCATTACCCATACCGTACATGTACATATACGACCCTTGATTTTTGCAGATATTTAAAAACATTCATTAGAGATTTATCAGAATTTCCAATTTAAGTATTTGGGCGACTATTTAGGAGTTTCAAAGGCTCAGATTACAAAGACAATACTTTCGATCTACCATACTTTAAAGAGATCTCTATAAGTATTTTTGCCATTATTATTATTTTTTAGCCATTTAGACGAATCAGAAAAACAACACCATAATATTGATATACTCCAAAATTCCTTAAAGGATATCATTAAGGCATACTTTGAAGAGATCGGAAAATGTTTGCGAAATCCCACATTAAGGATGCAGTACCTGGTCGGTTTTCACGTCTGTTTGCGCAGGTTTGACTTCCGGTTTGAGAAAGCTAGCTCCCAAGAACATCATTTTCGCATTTAGTCTTATTCAAAAATTATAGTTTATTTCGATAATGGTGTTTCCAGAAAAGAATTAAATTGCAAACATTTTATCAAGCATATTTTATCCCTTTCACTTTTATGGAAAAACTTGTTCTTGAGTCGCAATTAGTGGATACGAAAATCAGGGTTCGAAAGGTGCCAGCTCTATTGAAAACTCAAAAAAGTTAAAAGATTTATTTTGGGTGGGTAAAATAATTTTTTTATGTAATTACCAGACGATCAATCCTCTTCATATTGCACTTGGATGATGATAACATCATAGTGATACATTGTAAAAAATATGAGCAAAATCTAATGTCTGGAACTTTTTCTACGCTGACCTGGTACTGCATCCTTAAGCGGCCATTTTAAATTTTACGGGGCCTGAATTAGAAAAACGATACAATATTTGCAATATTCTCTAAATTATCTTTCATTTGAGTATTATAAAGCTATACTTCAGAAAGATCTCAAAATCAACAAAAATTCCTGTTTTCCCGATCCCCAATACACAGCCCCTGGGGGTCAGGCTAAAAAACATGGGAGATATGTGAATAGATAGATGTTTTGAATGTACTATCAAAATGAAAAACTTAAGCCTTTCGCTAAATACATTCCTGCCATTTTTCAAAGGTGGCGGGTATTTTTTGGGGTAACACTATTGATCAATATACATATTCCCAATAAATATTACGCAAATTTGTCAACTAGTATTCGAGACGGACGGACGGACTGATGGACCGACGGACTGACTGATGGGTGAATGGCTTCACTATCCCTATACCGAACTTCGTTCGTTGGGATAAAAAACCACGTCCAATTTGAATTTCCGGTTTTAAACTTATTTAGGGGCTGAGCTTCTCAGGCTCAGGGTTCACCGCTCCTGCAATCAACGTAGAGTATAATTACAGGCATACTTGGTTGGAGTAATGCTTTGTGTAGGGATACTTTATGTCCAACAGAAGACGATTATGAAATCCGAGATCGGAAAGTCATGTGGTATACGGCAAACCGAGCAAAGAAAACCCTTCCGCAAGGGTTTAGGATATATACATCTAAAATACCAGGGGCCGGGCTAGGTGTATTCGCAGAAAAGGTCATTCCAGTAGGTTACTATTTTGGGCCATATCAAGGCGATACTGTTCAGAGCATCGAGGATGTTCATTTGTTTGGCGATTATGCTTTTATCGTAAGTACCAAGGGACATAAGATGAGTTTCTCATTTTAGCCTTCCTGTTTGCCTATCTGTACATTGAATGTCTTTTGTCACCTTTCAATAAAATATTGAAAATATCGCAGTTGAAAAGAAATAACTTGAAGACCAAAAGAGGCGAAATACAAGTAATCAAGAAGGTGGATTAAACGAAAGTCTAGGTGAACTGCTTGAACAAAACCAATTTTGTTAATTTTGAACAGGTATACCGGAATGGTAAAAGGTACTTTGTTGACGCATGGAATCCCGACTCCTCAAACTGGATGCGCTATATTAATTCTGCACGCGATTTTATGGAACAGAACCTAGAATGTATCCCATATAACGGAAATGTACGTTTGTATACCATGACAAAGTTGCAAAAATGTAATACTCGATTTAGCCATACCATTAACCACGTTTCCCGTTAAATCGCATTCTCCTCACATGTAAGCGTCAACTCGATGTCAACTTGGGAATAGTACTTGAGTAAAATTCATTCCCACTAAGTATTATACAGGGTGGTCCAAAATAGTGAACCCCTGCAACGGGCCATCTTTCCCTTATTACAAGCAGGAATTCGTTCATATTTTCACATGTATATGGACAAGGAATATACGTTATAGATTCGATCTCAGAACTTATCAATATAAATTTTCTATTGGAAAAGGAGCATTAATACACAGGACGGACAACATAGAATGATTAACTTGAAATTTATTAAGACAACCATTCAAAGAAAAATTCAAATCAGATTTGAAAGAATATTACTTGGACAGGTATTTAATTGTACTTTAGAACATTTAGCTATATCGTGTTTATATATATTTCTTCCTTTCTTTTCTTTTTCTTTATTCCTAACTTTCTAGATTTGAAAGAGTATTACTTGGACAGGTATTTAATTATACAGATGCGAGTAGGTATTTACCACTTTCGCCACCAGGTGGCTAATTCGGGGGAAATAACATGGCAGGGTATTACAAAATTCCCTTAAACTTGAATATTCATCAGTTTTAGTGCTTCTCTTTTCATATTATCCTTATGTATCTAATAGTTATGCAAATTAAAATATGTCCAGTGAAAGAAAATATTATCTCCCCAACACAAAAAAAGATAATTCACTTTTTGTGATTTTACAACATTGGGTCTATGGGGAATATCCCCAACCTAGAAGTCACATTTTCAAAGAATTTTCAAAGTTTATTAACTCTTTTCAGAACCACATTACTAGATGTAATTTTACATGTACATTCAAAATATGACATCGTTTTGACTGAATTTTGATTATCTTATGAAGGAAATCATGATTATTTCGACTCGCATCTGGTGTATTGTACTTTAGAACATTTAGTTACATCGTGCTTATATATATTTCTTCCTTACTTTTCCGTTTCTTTTCTCCTTACTTTCTATCTTTTAAAAACAGTTTGATATATTGTCATCTGCGAGAAAAGTCTAGTTATAAAGTACCCTCTTCTATTGAAGAGTGAGGGGAATATATTCAAAGAATCTGCTGACATGAGAAATCGATTGGTAGAGACGGGATTGTTATATCAAAGTAACATTTTATATGTCTTTCGAATAATGTAATCCTATTTTCTTTATTTTATCGCTATTTTCACTGTTATTGAAAATTGTATGTTGAATGTACGTTGGGCCCTAAAAGGGCATCAGTACAAATAAAAATCCTTTGGGGACGCATTTTACTCAAGTCCTATACGCCAATACACACAAGTTGACGTTAGTACGTGGGGTTTACGATGTTAAGGCACAAATATATTTCAGGTATACTATAGAAGCATTCAAGATATATATCCTGGCCAAGAGTTAATGGTTTTCTATGGACACGACTATATCGAGAAACTAGGCATATCTATCCACAATTACTGTAAATGGTTTAACGGAACAGTACATCAAGCCATATTGTCAGATTTCATCTGTGGAAATCTCCATCAACAGAATTTAAAGAATTAAAAAATAGTGATCTACTAGTATTTCAGTTTGTAACCTGTTATGAGATACTTTTAGAAGTATGTTTATGTTTATGTTTATGTATCTTTATTTCCACCTATGCAGATGAGTACATAATAATTATAAAGTTAATGTGGCAATATTAAAAATATAAAAATAAAAAATATATATATTTACAACGCAAACTGTGTTGATTTAATAGTTTATAGAGCTATAGCTGCAGCTCTTGTTTTTAACATGTGTTTGACACTTAACATTATCTTCACATACATTCTGTAGTCTAATGCTTCATTTTTTCCTAGTAAGACCTCCAGTAATAATTAGTAAGACGTATAAAATGTGTTTTGAATTTCTCGGGGAATTTCATTATTCAGTCGCCACCATACCTTAGATACCTTAGGTTGTCGACCGGGAGCTCCATTTGGAAAGTTTGTAAGTTAAAGCCTGTTCGTGCAAAGGGATTTATTAATTCCTGTACCTGTAACTATCCTATTAAAAAGGAGACATCAACACTCTATTTTGATCGAAATCTCAATTTCCTTCTAAAATGGAAAAGGGTATAATAGCGTTTCGAGTGTTGAACTTGGCGACGTATTTTTTATTAGGCGAAGGATGTTTTCAAGCCTAAATGTTTTCAAAGAAGGTTGAGCATATCTAAAGCTTATATCTGCGAATCCAACTGTCGGCTATCGGCTATCACATTATCCTACTATGTGACCAACTCATTTAAATATGAATGGAATCGTTACAGATGCTATTCCGACAGCTGAAAGTTGAATTCGTAAGTATGTATTTTAAAGTCAAGTTATATATCATTTATTTATGAATTAAAAGGATGTAGATGTAGATGATTTGTTTTATTGGAATCGAGGCTTAAACATGTTTTAATTGTACTTGTCCAGCATACTGGGACTTCATGATTTTGACTGCTTTGAGCAAAAATGCGAAAGACTACAGGTAGAGGCAATCGACATATCAATGATCTATGGTATTTGTTGAACAGAGACTATTTTATAACCCGAAATTTCAATGAAAATAAGAAAAACAGAATGCATATCTATCATCGATAACATATTTTATTTAAAAGTATGCCTAAGTATACAATATGTTGCAATTGATACTGTAGTAGGTAAAATAACATGGCTACCATTTGTCGATTTTTGTGCCTTATATCTCGAATATGAGTCCCATTTGGAAAAATCTACATGAGAAAACAGAAATATCTATACAAGAAAAGTGGTGGGCATGTATGGTAGGCTGTTGTTTCTTAAATGACTAGAATATGACTTTATTGTAGACCCTGAAATTGGCAACAGTGTTTGGAATGTAAAGTTTTGTCACCTTAATAGTGTATTCAATAATCTGTATTGTTAGTACCTCAGTTGAAATACTCGATTTTGATTGGTCAACGAGCGGTGAATAATTTTAACTGTACACTGCGCAATGCATTGCCGGTGAATAATATTCCCAGCATTCCACTAAAATGATGTCATTATCAGACGATAAAATGGCCGCCGCTAGCACTAGCCGTTTCAAAAATGTTGAAGATGAGGATATTATTAGTCTCTTAGAGAGTAAAGACAGTCAAAATACGAAGAAAAATCTAAAACTTTGTACAAAGCGTTTAGTGGACTTCGCCCAGGAGAGTAATTTGACTCCATTGAGTTAACTTACTGCCGATATACTGAAATACAACATGAACGTCTCGAGGGTCTGGATCCAACTTCAAGTCAACTTCAAGGGTCAGAAAAATCTAAGATATTCTTCGGACTAACAAAACAATTATAGACCTCTCCATTCGGTTTACTGTCAAAATTATATCCCTCGACTGTAAACCTCGACCTACGGTCTCGGTTTACAGTCTCGGGATATAATTTTGACAGTAAACCTCTGGAGAGGTCAATAATTGTATACAGTACATGTAAATAGTTTTTACAGATTCGGGTGTTAAAAACAGTTTTATATCTTGTCATCTTGATTAATACAATTATGTAATATAATCATATGTAACTGTATACACCCGCATAGGTGTCAGTTGCCTGTACATTGAAAATCGATATAATTGACAAATAAACAACTATGCAAACTGTATGCAAACTGTAAATAATAGACAGACACAATTGCAGCGTCATCTAACACAAAACAGCAGTCTAAAAATACAGAGTATCCGACACAATTTACATTATACATTTAAAATTTCAACACTAATAGAAAAGATAGTCCAGCTATCAGAGGTAAAAATTGCGCATGCGTGGCACCACTTCCGTTTGTTTTACTCAAACCCTCTTCAGTTTCTATATTTTCATGTTCTTTGTCCTGAGATTCTAAAGGTTCTGCCCCCATGGGCCTTTCGACTAGACCATCTTCATCAATTGTTTGTATCCCTACTTCTTGTTTTGTATCTGACATTGCGGTATGGTGTGTAAGCCCAGCAAACTGAATAGAGCCAGATGTTTTCGGACAACCATACCACCACTCAGCCGTTGAGCGTGGGTACGGGGCTGACGAACTCGAGTCGACTCTGAATTGACCGTCATTGTAACGGTAGTAATTGCCATCTTTGAAGAAATACGTTCGCCCGTTTACCCACTGCATGGCGGAATCTAATGACTCTGGTAGGCCGTTCCAGATTGAGAGACGTCTTGGGTAAGTTGAGTCGACGTAAGAACCTGAGTAACGCCAGTACTGATCTCCTGTAATAAGATAAATACCAATATTATTACGTTAGGTAGTGGTTATATTCACACGTATACAACATGAAGTCATATGGTGTGCTAAGCACAAGTACCACATGTTTTCGTATCAACGGAATTTTACTGAGATGCCGTCACATAATTTAGATACTTCCTCTCAATTAAGATAAGAAAAATATTATTTGACTAAGGTATGAAGTAATGAAATAGTGTGTGTAATCAATTTTGATCAAAAAGTTCTTAATTCAGTGAGATCGGAAGAGTATTACTGAATTAGATAAAAGTAAAATCATCTTACCTTTAACAAAGTATGTTCTTCCGTTCCCACTCCATACAAAAGCAGCGTCTACATTAGATGGCATGCCTCTGAAGCCGTCGATTCCAATCCTTCTTGGGTATCCTGCTGCCATCTTTTTGTTAACGAATCTCCAGTATAGTTCTCCTTTGAAGAAATAGGTGACGCCCCAGTATGCCCAATAAAGTGACGCATCTATGTTGTCAGGGAGACCTTCCCAATCATTACGGATTAGACCACTGGCCGCCACGCCATAATCATTAAGTTCATAGTAATGAGCTCCTAAAATGGAGAATTTATAAGTATTTTGAATTGCCATAAAATGTATATATTACTTGTACTAGTCTAGTTTTTCATAGAAACTTACAATTATAAGTCTTAGAAATTCATGTGACTAAATGGAGACAGACGATTTAAGATGTACATGTACATATAAAAGTAAATGTACGCTTACCTTGAAACATATATGTCTTTCCATCATATGTGTTTGCGAATGCATCTGGCTTAGCCTTATTGCAGATGTCAATATCTGTTGATGTTGTAGTGATCATTGGCTTTGTTGTAGTTGGCTTTTTGGTGGTAGTTGGCTTTGATGTCGTGGTTGGCTTTTTAGTTGTTGTTGAGGTTGTTGTCGTCGTTGGCTTTGTTGTAGTTGTTGGCTTTTTAGTGGTAGTTGGCTTTTTAGTTGTTGTTGTAGTTGTTGTAGTTGGCTTTGTTGTAGTTGTTGCCTTGGTAGTGGATGTTGGCTTTTTTGTTGTCGTAGTTGTAGTCTGTTGCCTAGCACCATACACCTCCTGTATTCCAACTATGTCATCTGAATGGAGCTCAAAGTTAGGCTGGTATCCCCGGTAAAATGGCGCCATGAGGGCATCGGAATCATCAGAATGTGATAACCCCAAGGCATGTCCGAATTCGTGAGCGGCGACTTGGAAGAGATTGATCCCGCCTGAGGTATCTAAGGTCCATTCTTCAGCTTCATCAAAATGTACGTCACCGCCGTACTGGGGAAAGAACGCATGCGCAAGTGTGCCAAATTCAGAATCAAATGGATACCCATCACCGTGGTCGCCTGCAGAGAACTTTATCTCGATGTCAACGTTACTTCCTGCGGACCTCTGGGTAAAAGTTAACGGTGTGACGTCACTCCAAACTTGAAAGCCTCGTTTTACTTCTTGGTCGACATAGTCACGTGCGAGATCGGGAGTATATACGAGAATAGAATACGTCAAGTCATTTTTGGGCCATTGGCTTCCTACAAAAGTTAATATTGTTTGGTTAGCATGACAACAGCAATAAGGAAATATGAGCACTGATAAGAGGATTTTTATGAATTCATGATGACAACATAATACACAATAAGATCCTGAAAAGAGCACTTGATACACCCAATTGTTGATTCAAGTTCGCACTGGCAAGTGGTACAACGTGATACACGCTACACGACTGATAAGAATGAACTTACAAAAACATCTATACTGTCAATATGTGAATCACGACATTTTGGGATGAGTCACTCAGCATCTTAAAATTTTGTAATGGGAGCCAGTGAACTTTGAAATTTTTATTCGTGATTCAGCTTTTTGATAGAGTAAAGCAAATTTGAAATACCAGTATGATGTGTTATTATGTTAACTCAATGTAGCATATATTTTGATAATGTGTCATGCATTTCTCATTCACTTAGCTACACTTATGAGGCAGGCGGCCAATATCAAATCAAAGAAAATGTTAAGATGTAAAATTAGTCACCAAAACACAAATATGAAAATGTAAAGCTTTAAACATTAAAAGATGACAATTTAAGTACAATGACTTGCATTTAGATACGTTTAAATTGTTTCCAAAAAATACAAATCAGCATTTTTGAGGATCCAATCCCCGACTAGAAATATGTATTTACGTTATATTTAGGGCGGGCCACAAGATATGACAGATAAGAAATAAGGCCCAGACTAGGTTTAACTTGTTGAACTACGTTATACTAAGCTAGTTCTTTTAGTCTTATATGGATTATTTAAGATTAAATCAAGCCGAGGACCCTTATGCAAAATAGAAACATCTCATCTAAATTGATATCTTCACTGCAATATATGTGACAATGATATATGATATTTACCTTCTATTGCGTAACGTTTGCTTCTCGGAAGATGGACCGTGGCGTCTGAGTTACCACATCTTGGCATCGCCATCATTTCTTTGGTTTTAGCATCAATCTCGCCTATAAAAAGAATATAATTTCGTAAATGTAAATTATTTTTACATCCATAAATAAAAGCACGTTAGAATACAGATACTTTAAATACTGTTAATCTATCTATTCAAAAAACTTGTTCATTGCAATGTTCTCCTATCATTTATGAAATGCATTCATAATACAAACCTCTTCTCTTAAATTACAAAAGGTATCAAAAATGCATAATGCCATTAAATGTAATTGAATTATTTGTATACCATGCATCAGCAATGGACTCCAGTAATATTTCCTCAAATACATGTAGTTTTAATTCTTCGATCCGATATCTTTGGACTTACCAGTTTGTTCTATTCCCGCCATTTTCTGGAAACGTTTCAGCGAATCCGTGATGTCAGAGTGTGTGATTGAGCCTAACTTGCCCCCTGATGAGGTTGAGGGCATGTGACCAAATCTGGTGAGGTAGTCCTAAAATATAGAAATCGATGCTCAGTTTACAGTAATCCATTTGGCCAATTCGATACTTTCTAAGACCAACTCATGTATTGATTTTAAGGACTGTCAATAGATGACAAAACATTTATTGGGTTTAATAACATAGATGAAGATACATTTAAATGCATGTATAAAAATATCATCAAATTGATATTTAAACACGTTAGTATATAATTAGGAAGAGAAAATGTGATATTAAATGTATTAATGTAGCGAAAGAAAACATCCAAACAATAAGAAATCTGAAAGGATATCCCGATTACAGAACAGCAATAAAAAAAAACTAAAATAAATTGACTTACCATTGCATCACCGTCGGACATTTGCGTCGTCGGCGCTGCTTTCACAATCGCCATACTCGCCAGGCACACGATCACGAGTACTTCTTTTAACATCATATTGAGCATTTGTTCTTAATAAGTTAAAAATATTATATAAATAGTTTACAGTCCGGCTGTATTGTAAATCTAATAGATAAAGTATTGCAGTTTGTTAATTGCGAATGAGTTCTTCAGTTCTTCAGTTTGCTGCTTTAGTTCTTGTTCTTGTGTTGTTTTTGTTCCTTGTAGTTTTTCACATCAGAGGCCAGCTCCGTGTGTTAAATATTTTGTTTCTGATAATGTACAGTTAACGCGTGTATTTATACTAAAGCAGCCACAGTAGGTACACTTAAGTCGATAATTTAATTTCAATGTAAACCCATTCAAATCTTTTCAAGTCTACTCAAGCTTTTCAAATTATCGTGACAAACTGCGTCAATGAATGGTCATGTGTTCCATATATGGATCTAATCCAGGGTCAAGTTGGGGATATACCATCATGATGCCCTTATATGGCAATGGGAATTCCCATTATGTATGAATCACGTCGTCAGACTCGTCGGTCTGATTGATAACTTCCAAAGAACGGTACAGCATGCCAAATTAAGATTAAGACATACACAAGCGATTACATACTATATTTGTGATCAATCTTTTTGTGATTAATCTTTTGTCGAATTTTATTGGTTTAATGATAATTTGATATCCAAATCGTGTATCAATCATTTTGCGGTTGCAAGATTCTTTCTCGGGTTGCAGGAAAATACAATTGATGCAAAGTTGCACGTAGTGTGTTTCCTGATGTGTAGGAATCGAGAAATAACAAAACATTTCCATCAGTTGTTTTTTATCTGATTAGACTTACATAAAAGTTGCAATTTAAGGCACTAATTGTAGAAAACGGACCGATGAATATCGAATAAATCAAAACATTGAAAAACTGATCCACAATTGTCTTAAAAAAGAGTTATCAGGGGCGGATCCAGGAACCAAGAAGGGGGGAGCCCAAATTTTAGGTCAGAGAAAAAACTTTGGGCCCCTAAAACCAAAAAGTGGGCCCAAATTTTGAAATGTTGAGGCCCATTTTCTTCCGCAAAATTTGGCCTAAAATTAAAAAAACAAAGCCTTGGAAGGCCCATGAATGACCAAAAAGGCCCACCCTCTGGATCCGCTACTGGTTATTGCATTTAAACAATTGCTTTTAGTAATGGGTTAACATCTTCCTTTTTGTGATATTTACTCCATCCCCAATTTACGTTTATACTTCAATTCTTAACTGAATGAACACTAACTATTTTCAACTATTCTATTTCTAAATCATATACTAGTATATATATTTAGGATAACTTATTTATTGAACTCTGATACGATTACAATCGCACATAGGACGAAAAGTATAATGTTCATATTTAGATACGTGTAACATTTAGACGTGGTGTACAAGCTGTTGTTAATTTCAGTGAATCGGATAAGTGCAGGATTAGTATGGGGGTTATTACGTGGATTACAGGAAGATGACGAATTAAAACGTTGGATTTATGCTTTGATGATACAACAATTGACCAACTACTTGTAACAATGAAGTGGCAATCACTGAATGTCGACAAAACAAAGGTGAGGATATCCGGATTGATTTATGACAGCGCAACTTTTGATGACCGTTGAAACAATGGGATATGGTTAGAAACTTCCACATGGGGTAAATGGACATTGCGTCAATAGATGCGCTGGATGTTAATGTTGTTGGCGGTTTCGATCCCTGCCTATAGACAAAGGCTAAAGTGCAAATAAGGATGTACATGTAGACTTTGATTACATCCATTGGGCCAATCAGATTTTTTGTTCATTAATTGTGTAGCCACTTTTTGAAATAAATATTGCACTGGAACAGAACATTTCAGTACAAAGTGGTCATATTTTCCAAGACAGTACAGTTGCTAAACACACGTAGCTTTGAAATCTCGCTGAGATCTCGTTTTATTGAGACATTGGGAAACCTGCATTTTGATCAACATTTTCTGCAGATTCTGATTCTGATCTAATATTCAAATTGTGATCCTTCAAAGAGTAAATGAACTTTGAAAGGTCTTCTCCATTGTGTTAGCAGAGATTAAGCCTTACCCTTTTCAGAAAATTGACTTCCTGAAAATTGTATAAACAGGTAATTAACTGCAAATCAAGTTTTAATAAAAGATTACGCTCAGCTAGAATTCAAATATTAGTATGCTATCAAATAATTACTTTGCTTATAATATATATAAAATATTGTAAATTGTTTTAAATAATCCAATTTTAAATCTGTCATTTCGCTCTGTAATTTATTTATATTTCGAATACATGGATGATTAGATGTCAGAACTAGAGTAGACATACCAATTAAGCCTCTCGACAAAATATTAAAAAAGTAATTAAATCAACCGTATATTGCAGTGTTATATTAAATACCTAGCGAAGCATTTGTATGGGAGTCAATTGAGCTGAAGATCGGCTATATATTTCTGTACGTATTTAGCGCCAAACTTTTGACATTTTGACACGACAGACCCCAGGCCCGTAACCAGGACTTTTTGAAAAATTTTAGGGGGATTACTTGTGCAATTTTCGTCCAAAAATGGCCCAAATCACTTAAAAAGTACTCAGAATGGTGAACAACTGCATGATTTTGAAGGATTTTTGGCCAGGGGGGGTCGAACTCCCCCCCCCCCGGCTACGGGCCTGGACCTGCAGGCTGGTGGGAACACAATGGCTATTATGATATATCTTTAGTATTAAGTAATACATCCGAGGTGGATTAAACAATCCATTCATAAAAAGTAATGCCGGACGAGCTAGAAAATGAAAATATCATTCAAAAATCTTATCTGAAATGACACACTGTACGTATATATAAAGTACAAATGTAAGCTCATTTTAAGAAATAATACATCAACTGAATCTTTTGCATATATTCCAGGTGCACTTTTGTTACATTTGTTACTATTGGTCTGTGTACAATTCGCATTCCTCTGTGAAGGAGAATGCAAGCTTATATTAGGAAATAATTGAATCTCTTTCATATATTGGTTTGTGTACAATTTCCATTCCTCTGTGTAGGAGAATGCAAGCTTATATTAAGAAATAATTCAATCTCTTGCATATGTTGATCTGTGTACAATTCTCATTCATCTGTGTAGGAGAATGCAAGCTTATATCAAACAATAATTGACTCTCTTGCATATATTGGTTTGTGTACAATTCCCATCCATCTGTGTAGGAGAATGCAAGCTTATATCAAACAATAATTGACTCTCTTGCATATATTGGTTTGTGTACAATTTTCATTCCTCTGTGTAGGAGGATGCAAGCTTATATTAAGAAATAATTGAATCTCTTGCATATATTCTAGATGCTGCTAACATTGGTCTGTGTACAATTCCCATTTCTCTGCGTAGAAAAATGCAGGTTTATATCAAGAAATAACCAAATCTCTTGCATATATATTGGTTTGTGTAGTATTCCCATTACTCTGCGTAAGAGAATGCAAGTTTATATTAAGAAGTAACTAAATCTCTTGCATATTAATTTCAGGTGCAATTGCTAATATTGCATGGTTTGTGTGCAATTCTCATTCCTCTGGGTAAAATAATGCAAGTTTATATTAATTTATTTGAAACATACTGTAGGAACAAATAACTGAATCTCTTATAAATTATTAATTGTATACATTCCTGGTGAAATTGCTACTATTGAAATTTATAACACAAAAAATGTTTGTCGTCCAGATATCATAGACAAGGAAGCCATCTAAAGTCGTCGACATAAAAAAATATCGCATAAAAGTGATTGAAGCATATTGTATATCATAACAATAAAAGAAATGATAGTAATAAGCAAAAGGAACTTAAATTCAATATTTAACGTGAGACAAAGCATAAAAACCCTCTTAATTAGTCACGACTTTTAATACAAATGGCCGATCGTAATTTTAGGATACAAGACTTTCGCCATCCTTTTAAAAACGGAAAGTGATGAGGATGATGGGCATAATTCTAAACTGGCAGTACCTTACAGTAGCATTATAAGAACATTGGCGATTATTTCATTTTGATACGATGCCATCCCTCCATGCGAATACGTTATTGCGCTGGGGCATTTGATAATTTACGTAAATTGTTTTGACTGTAGCTACTTTCCTTTCCAAAAATGCACAACCGACAATGATATATTCTTAACTCAAAATCACGCGAGTAAACGGATGTGAAACAAAGAATTAGAAGCTCTTTATTATTGCCTCTCTGGATAGAACTTATTATTTTGAGATTCGCCTGACACGTTGCATTAAGTTAACGTATGCAAATTTCGTTCTTTATTGTCACTCTTTCTAGATTTTAATATGCACATTTTGCAACGGTTCGTGGACCGTTTACTAGTAGTTATATACATATGGAAAAGCTGTTCACTGAAACGCTGAAAACATTTTGATGTTATCCACTCCATTAGTATAATATGATCACTTTATCACAGTGTTTATTCATATGTGTAAAAGGGTGTAGCCGAGATCAAAATCACAACACAAGCAATTTGTATATTTGCGTATACTAACCGCAAACACTGGCTGAATTGAACTTGAACTGGTATACTGTACCATATATTTGCTCAATACTTTTAGTTTGACAAGTGTACATAAAGTCATAAAACTTATGAAGAGTTGTCGCTGTCGATATACTTTAACGTACATATAATTCAATCGCATACATCAAATAAAATATAATGCATGCATATACATGTACATGAACAATATAGACGTCCGAATTCCGGTGAATCGAATAAGTACAGGATTAGTATGGAGTTTATTACGTGGATTACAGGAAGATGACGAATTAAAACTATGGATTTATGCTTTGATGATACAACAATTGACCAACTATTTGTAACGATGAAGTGGCAATCACTGAATGTCGACAAAACAAAGGTGAGGATATCCGGATTGATTTATGACAGCGCATCTTTTATGACAGTTAATGTTAAGGTAAAGTTCACGGAAAATTGAAAAATGTGCAGGGCAGAAATTTCAAACTTTTCTTTTATTGAATATTTATGAATGTTTATGCTGGGTCTAATGTCGTTTGTGGTTCAATCCTTGCAAATAGACGCACGCTAAAGTGCAAATAAGGATAGACAAATGCATCTCTATTTAGATATTTATGCATTAATTGTACTTTACTTGATTTCTCAAGATATTATTGCACGAGAACAGAATATTTAAGTGCAAATTGGTCATATCTAGGATTCTTCATCCCAGGTCATACTTTCTAAAACAGTTCGATTCAATCTAAAGGAAAAATTGGCACGTTACCTTTTGAACTGTTTATTACAGATTTATAGTTGCTGCTTGACTGTACTGTATAGACTGTACAATGCAGTTTTTATTGTTAACTACAGGTGGAAATAGAAACAAAATTGTTGATAATTTATCCGTTCAAAAAGTGTCCATGTAATGCATGTAGTTTTAATGGGACATCTGCGAAATCTGATTATTAATCTGAAATAGTAAAGATACAAAGTCACTATATCCAAAATGTGTTAACAATGGCCCTTAACATGGGCATGTATCTAGAAATTGGTGGCAACCAGGGTGTGACGGTGTCACTACATTATGTGTACATAAATAACTCTAGTTAATCAGTTGATGGTATAAAGTCACAGCTAGATTTAATCAATGTACTTTTAATTAAAATAGTTGCTCTGACTGGTCATGGCGAACTGACTCTGACACGGCCCGTGTTCTCGAAGTATGTTTCATATTTATCTACTTATGCGACATATAACATTCGAGACACAATTTGAATTCAACATCATCTAATATTATTGTATTTATGAAATCATTTGCATTTGGTTGCAACTGTTGCACAATCAACAAAGTTTGACTAGTTCTATTTATGTCATTATATAAATTGTACGTTATATTTTATATTTTGCAAGTTTAGAAATTATTTCGAAAGGTGGTTGGATTCGGAATGGGTTGGTTTCAATTAGTTTTATTTATCTCCTTAATTAATTACTATATTGTATATAATTTGTTCAAGTAAGGGAATAATTTCAAACAATGATAGTAATTAATGTATGTTTTTTCATAAATTACAGTTATCTAGTATAATCGCATTAATAAATCATGAAATCAAAGTAAGTTATCCTATCAAAATGGAAAAACATAACATAAAATGATTTACATAATATGGAAATAACGTAAGTTGTTAAATAATCAAATTTCAAATCTGTCATTAAGCCTTGCCAGTGTATCGAGTGGAACCAATAATGATATGTCAGTACGAGGATAGATATGTCAGCTCAGCTTCACGACGGAATGTTTATTGAAAAGTTAATCCAACCTTATACATATTTTCTGAATATTTTGTATAAAAGTAATGTTTCCGATGTAAGTCTAGAACTCCATTAATGCAGAGAACGCCAGATGTTCATGAGCTACTGATTGGATCATATCAACTGAATATCTTGCATATACAATTCCAGGTGCATTTGTTACTATCGGTCTGTGTACAATTCTCATTCATCTGCGTAGGAGAATGCAAGCTTATATTAAGAAATAACTGAATCTTTTGCATATATTCCAGATGCGACTGCTACTATTGGTCTGTGTACACTTTTCGTTTCTCTGCGAAGGAGAAACTGGAGATGTCGGAGAAGCCGCCAGACAAAGCATAATAGACAAGTATAGAGGTGAATAAATGACTCGTTGTGCGTTGGCACATGGTCAGTCTCTAACTCTGATATTCTTAAAACCCTATGAACATATGGAACAGACAGATATTGAATTGTGACGTGTTATTATATTGATTTAAATTGTATTATATTATTTTGTATTAGTGTATATATAGGTTATTTACTGGGAGGGATTGAATATGGGTTTTATTCCGAGGGACAATATGATATTGACCGAGGGAGCGCAGCGACCGAGTGTCAATATTATATTGCTCAAGGTCGATATCATATTTTTCCGAGGAATAAAACCCATATTGAATCCCGACCTGAAATAACATATTTATTCCAAAATACATTCCTCTAAAATGTTACATTTGGATAATGCTTTCATCAATTAGCCAAGGTTAAAAAACAACCAGGAAACCAAAAATAGGTTAATACGTTTCAATACGATCTTTTCCCGGGGACAATACGATTTTTCCATGTACTACGCTCCAGTACGATTTTTTCCCCGGGGACAATACGATTTTTTCATGTAATACGATTCAATACGATTTTTATTCCTTCATATTTTCCTGGAAAAACAGTAGTATTATGGAATAATATGCTTTATTTAATTGAATCACAGTGTGTTACATTGTGTTTTATCTAATCGTACGTCCTATATTGCATTCTATATTATTGTATTAATTTAAATTTTTTAAAAAGCTGTATCTGTACTTGAATTCGCATATCAGTCAAGCCAAGTAAGTAAGTCAACATTCGAAAATAAAAATCTCAAAAATCGTACATCTTTGATTTCCAAAATAATTTGTGAGATGGTTATTTAGATGATAATACACATTTTAACGCACTAATTTTGAGTACATCTCGAATCAATTCTCAACAAAGCGTTATCGAAATAAGTATTCGAAATGTTTGAGTTCGGGATGATAAAAGTACGTTAAGATATACCGCTCCTTAACAAACTCCTTTAGGAACAAGATAAAGAATCAAATGCATATTCTTCCTATTTATTCCCTGACACATGTCAATGAATGTTGCATAAGTAAATATCTCCGTTTTAAAAAATTCGGAAAACGTTGTTCTCTACAGGTGCCATTTTTTATAATTGAAAAACAAAATTGAACAATTTGCATTTCTAAATTGATAAGTTTCTCGGAATACAACTTAACTGTAAACGATTTAAGACATTAATAATATTTCCCTTAGTGAACCCATGCTGAAAAGACAGTAACTGGGTCAATGTTTTGTGTTCAACCTTGTTTTCATGACTTTTAAACATGAGTCGACGATTATGTAGGAAATTTCATTTTAAATGTAAGCGTGTCAACTCCTGTTTTTGCACAATATTTAGCCCTTTATAATGATAGATCGCCAAAATATGCATGTACTCTCAATAAGGCGATATGTTTTTCAATTTATAGATGAAAACTATAAACTCAAACAAAAAATTCAAATCACCCGCTCTATTATTTTGATTACACAAGACGAAATTTCCACTCCCGGGGAGCACTTTGGTATCACCTTGAAGGAGAATTCTTGAAAAATCGTTCGAATTTTCACAAAAGGTTTCACGTAATTTTATTGCTTTGTTTAAGCCTCGACTTATATTATACTCAAATCCGATACCATAATTATGAATCAAAATGAAACATTCAATTCACCAGGTTAAATAATTAACCGTTTCGAGAATTGATGATTTGAGTTAATTGTGGATATTTAATATATAAATGTAAGTTGGCATGTATTCGACGGTTAATGTACACACATGATGTATGCATCAACGTGTGATTTAAATATCAATTCGTGACTATCACATTTGGCTTCCAAAAATAAAGTTGGAAATTACAGTGGTAGGAGATTAACGAAAACGTCAATCACATCCAAATATCCGTACGACGTCAAGTATTAACAAAACACTTTTCGTGCATCTCGAACATGGCAAGGTTCTGTGATCCAGCAATGTGCATTTCGAAAGAAAAAATTCACAAATATCAAAAAAATTTCATTGAGTAGGATATTACATTCGTAATCACAACTTTCAAATTATTATTTTTAACCAAGAATTGTAAGAACTTGAAACATGTTGTGAGTTTTTCAAACGGCATATCCTCATTCACGTTCTTTGAAAAGGATGAATCCATTTGAAAACATGGATTTTCTTGATTATTCTTCAAAACTACCCTTGAAATATAAGTATGTAGGATATTACAGTGTAAATTGACACGCATTTGTTTGCTCGATATCCTGAACAAATAAATGCAGTACCGTCTTGCAATATTTGAAAACCGAAAGTTCATTCTGTATGTAAACAAGAAAAAATACATTTATGGTTGGTTCATAATGAAAAATGACGAATAACATATATCTTTTGAAGTAGGGGTAGACAGGGACACAGTAGAAAATCAGAAATTTAGGTCATATCCCAAAGATTGCTTCACCAATATGTAACAGAACATCAAAAGTATCATTTACACGTTTGCTGATAGGTTTATTGAAAATAATTAACCAGAGGTTTACTTCAATTGTGGCACCATTCTTATTAAATATTGATGAACATACGAATTTCGAATGTTGACTAAGTTACTTGTCTTGACCGATATGCTGTTTCTAATTGTTCATGCTATATTGCATTCTAATATTTATGTTCAAGGTAAACTCTCAAAATTCGCCAATCACGAAGGACTGTACAGTGATGAAATTGAAGCTCGCCTTGCCACACTTGACAAGGTTTCACTTCTTAAAAATGATGAATATGTAAATGATTTTAAAAGTAAACTCCAAAGTATGATTTCCGAGTACGATCAAGAGGATGTAGAATCCGAACCGGAACCGGAAGAAGAATCAGAACCGGAACCGGAAGAAGAATCGGAAGAAGAAGAAGACGACGACGAAGACGTTATATATTTAGAGGATGAAGAATGGGATATGGAATACTGGGATGAACATCTATGCGCAACAGATCATGATGATATCATTCCTGATAACGTCATTGACTGGAATGTTACAGACCGTGCAAGAAAAACTATGCCACCGGGGTTTAGAATATCAAATTCTACAATACCCGGGGCGAATCTCGGTGTTTTCGCCGAGGCATTTATACCTTCAGGGACCTATATGGGACCATATGAGGGAGAAGTTATTTATGATGACGAAGATCTCTATCTTAATGCAGACTATGCTTTCAAGGTAAATTGTTATTTTGAGATAAGGATCTGATTTTACCTTATGATTTGATTAGACTCTGGGCGATCCAACAGCACTTAAAGCTGGAGAGGGTAGAGCATTTATCTGTTATGTCTTCAATTTGGAGGAGTAATTGTTAAATTCATACACTATCAAGTACATACATCGTCGCCTTCAATTGGGTTTATTAATATTTCGATTCATACAGCGTTATGATCGAAGAATAAAAATATAACTGAAGCCCAATACCCTGTTGGTCGTCCGATTCTGTGTACTTTGTTATTTGCTTGACTGATATTTAACTTAAGGTACCTTACCTTTTTATTCTTCTTTGCTAGATTTACAAAAACAATCAGCTCCTATTCTTCCGAGATGCCTGGCATCCAGATACCTCTAGCTGGGTACGCTACGTCAACTGTGCCCGCGATATGGTGGAACAAAACCTAGAACCAATACAATGCGAAGACCATGTGAGTCTACACAATTAGTGACTGATGTTTTGATAATTAGGCCTAACGATTTGTACCCAAAGTTCTTCATTGATATAATTTGGCTATTTACAAATATTTCCTCGTTTTTGTAAATATATGTACAGTATGTAAACAAAAGCGCCAAAAGGGAAATGACAATAACGTGTATGAAACACAATAGGGTATGTAAAATTATATGGACCCCCTGTCCTTCTTGTTGGAATTAAAAGGGCTACGTTCATTAACTTCTGGGGTGGTTAATTCAATGGATATTGTAGGAACTCTTGGCACTTGGTCTATCATGATAGTTATTTGCTATACTTTTTGATTTTTAGGCCAGAATTCATCTTATTATCCTATTCCAATCTGTATAAATCGATCCCTATATGCACAGACCTTACTGAATTCACTGCACCTGTAACTTCATTCTTCTTTTTAGATATACTTCCGGGCAATCAAGGATATTAAACCAAATACAGAACTATTTATATTCTACGGTTGGGGTTATGCACCCAAACTTGGCCTAGTCGACTACGAATATTGCAAATGGTTCAATGGGACATTTTATGACAGTATTGGCTCAGAATGGGTCTGCTCCTAGATATTCTGAACATACTGTTCAATATACTTCTATATAACTAATAAACCTGTGGTGCATGTGCATGCTTCTAACTTAGCAAAGTGATACTTACATATGCATGCGTTTAACTAAACCATTTTGCCTAAATGCACGACTTTTTGATTATCCGTGTAAAGATTCCAACTAGAAAGATCTGACACACCTGAAATATGCATGCCTGTAGCTGGGGATATCCGATGCTTGCGATGGATTCATACAACCCACGAATATTAAAACTTAAACTGGTGATGGGCCTTTCAGGCGGAGTCATGCATCTTGAAATCAATGCATACATCACTAGGCGACCCAAAAGCAGGTTACGGTTATTTAACAATCTCTTTCAGTAAACTGTGAATCTACTTTTGGTGCGCCTGTATAATTAGGGATTTTTTCAAAATAAAATTGCAGTAATATAAGGTGCCATGATTGAAAATGGAATGTGACGATTATTGACAATGAACTGTTTTTTGGTAGTTCCAGGCATAACCCACGTCTTACATAGCTTCTGCTTACATTATTTTAGATATACTATAGGGCTATCCAACCTATTAAACCAGGCCAAGAACTGTTTGTATTCTATGGAGAAGGGTACGTCGAAAAGCTTGGCATTGCAATGCGTAATTATTGCAAATGGTACAATGGAACTCTACACGATGGGATTGGATCAGATTATACTTGTGAGGACATTGACTAGGATCAGAGTATACTTGTGAGGGCATTGACTAGAATCAGAGTATACTTGTGAAGACATTGACTAGGATCAGAGTATACTTGTGAGGACATTGACTAGGATCAGAGTATACGTGTGAGGACATTGACTAGAATCAGAGTATACTTGTGAGGACATTGACTAGGATCAGAGTATACTTGTGAGGACATTGACTAGAATCTTGGCAAACTTGTGAGGACAATCACATTTTACTATCTCAACCAATCAGAGTCCTTGGATTCCAATATAGTGTGATAATATACATTATTGACGTATTATTTATGCATTGGACGATTTGAACCAAATAAGTAAGACCTTTTTGTCGTCAAGATAGACGAGCGAACGGACAGAGCCGTTCTTTAAAGTCTATAAGTCTTTTATCTAGCTTATTTATTATCAGTTTGATGGACCCGTCAAAATAGGAACGAGCAAACGGACAGAGCCGTTCTTTAAAGTCTATAAGTCTTTTATCTAGCTTATTTATTATCAGTTTGATGGACCCGTCATAATAGGAAGGGAGGTAACTCCCTCCCATAAGTTTGGCAACTGGAAGACTTCATTTGATAGATCAAAGTATGTTGATGTTTGAATCTTTTGATTTTGTTCCTTATATTTGAATTTTAGTGACAAGTTTTATGATTTTTTAAATCGCCAAATATAAACATGCTTTGATATACAAACCAAAAAGGGCACTTCCGGTTACCAAATTATGGAGGGGAGGGTGTGGTGTACCATAATATGTTATTTCATCCAAACTACCGCAGGAAACTTAATTATACTTTACTTAGACTTGCTATTCGTCCATTTTGATATGTCTCGAAAATACTTTTGCTACCCTTCATAAAGCATCCAATCTTCATTAAAATATAAACGGAAAAGGAGTGGCAAGTCTGAATAAATTCCAGCCTGTATATTAAAGAAGAATATATAAGTAAAGATGATTGATATTTAATTGTATTTATTTCAATAAATAAAATGATTATATTACATCTAAAATATATGAAAATGTATATGACTCTCATACCACTACGTACTTGGTGCGATCACTACATTACTGTATTTTGTAAAAAGATCTGTGATACAATAAAAAGAATATTTTTCACGCAGTGCTTTCATTATGTTTGTTCGTGCGATATGACCTTGACCTTTGTAGAAGCCCATTTTGTAGTTTACTAGGTGAACGTATTGCATCAAATATATTTAGCTTTACAGACGCTGCACGTTCTCTCCCAGCGGAACTATTATTTTTGTGTGATATTCCATGTTGCTTCAACGAACTCTTTCGCTTCATAGTACTAATATCAATATCATCCGGTTTAATGTCGTCACTCCATGCGCATGTGCTACGCGGTGGGGCGGTTGATAATTTAACGTTGATTTCATCTAAACTATTGTGCTTACGTTCGTTTGACAGACTTCCGGGTACATTTGGCCGTGAATGACTTCCTTCGTGCTCACCCTTTAGTTTTATTGAGACTCGTTTTGAAGGAGTCGATTTAACATCAATCGTTGGTTTTGCACACGTTAACAAGTTGTCGGTTGTACCCGGAAGTGACGTATTTGATTGCGTTGGTTGTACCCATTGTTTGACTTTTGTTTGTGTCGGATTGGAATCATTTTGGAGTATACTTGCCAACCTGCAAACACAAATAAGTAAAATTTACTCTTGAAAAAGCAACGGAACATTTTCAACGAGAGTTTTTAGAGAAATGGACCATTCAGTTTTGATAATGATTGTGAAGATAAATAAACGCGTAATATACCAAGGTTGGTAACAAATTCAAAATTTGTAGGATATAATTATACATATCTGACATTATGCTATTCTTGACATCAAGAACGTAATGCGATTCAAAAAATGTTTATTTGAGACATATAAGTTCATATTTTGCTAAAAGCCTAGCAAGCTATAGGGCCACCAGCGCTTTCTCTCAGCCATATAATATATGATACAGAGTGTCCATAAAGCTTCTTTACACTTTAAACAGACTTTATTAATATTAATATTGTAATTGTAAAGATACTTCAAGGACAACCTGTATGATAAATAAACGATGATACTCAAATATAAAAATCCAAACACGCATGCTTTAAGGAGGAACAATCTAACTACCTCCTATATGAAAATGTAATGTGAAAAAAATCCGAAACACCCGTGTTATTTTGGGGAGACATGCACGAATTATAGGGGCTCAATCCAAACATAAGAGAGGTCTCACACTAGCCTAACGTAACAGTATCTGTAACGTTTTTATGGAAAATGACACACATTTTGTTTATCAAAACGCTAAGGAAACGATAACGTGATGAAAAAACAATTTATGCGGAGCCTCTATTTTAGCTAATTATTTAACAGGCTGAAAACACATATACACACACTATTGGCCTAAATCTAGAAATGAAAATCAAGTTAGACGTGACCAATATTCTTACCCATGGTTACTTAGCCTATAGGAAACATATAATTTAATCTCGATTAGTGTACGCAATAGGATCAAAAACAATTTCACGAGGGGCGTTAAGAATATAAATGTTGCTCCCAAATCAGACTTCTCATATACATTGGTTCCTAAGCTGAACCTCGAATTCCGTATTTGAATTAATACACCAGAATTTAACGTTTCTAATGACGATTATATATGTACGTTAATAACAATATAAAGTTGTTATTAAATTAGTCATGGTCAACCATGCCATTTAGACATCTGTACATGCAAATGGGGATTATTAAATCTTAAAAGTAGACTTCACTTTTGAAAATTATCTTGAAATGTGCTAACTTTTGTACGAGCAGTCTAAAAGGAGTGCCAAAGGCAATGCATTTGTTTTTAATTTTATTTGAATAAGAACGAGTGAAAAAAGGTGCACACTTTCCTCGCATTAATTTGTTTAATATGCTTCGTCTTCCCTGAGAAGGGAATCATGAACTACGATTCATATTTAAATCACTTACATGTTTGGGTCACTTGGTCTTGGCAAAGGTTTGTCGAAGCCATTCATCCCAGTCAGCCAGTATGTCTTGTGCATGCCCTTACCCTGAAAAGAATTCGAAAATGGTTAACGATTTTCCGACCACTATCGAAAATGGCCGAAGATCTAGCCCTTAAAGTATTTGACTGGCGCCTTTGAAGCATCTTCGGCCATCTTGGTGATACAAAAATCTTCGGTTTTGGTGTATCGGTGTTCTCCAGTAATTGGGGCTAAGGGCAGCTCCAGTGGTATACTGATACGATTTTAGGACTGCAAACTTTGCAAAGGGGTATATTTCTTTATACTTTACCTTGAGTTCTACTTCTCCCCTGAATTCGCAGTCATAACCTCCAAGTTCGTCTAGTTTCAGCTTGGTGGACTCACTAATATGGATACGCGATGCTATAATAAATAAAAATGTAATGCATTTGTTATTTCTAAAGATAGTACTATGGTTTATATTGCGCATTCAGTTTGCGCATCTTAAATCCCGTTCTCGCTTAAGTTCTCGTGGTGACTCACTAATGAAGATTACATGATGTTGTAAGCCCTAATGAATAAAAATGTAATACATTTAAGTATTTTATACAGAAAGAAAGCATATGGATCATAGTGGTACACAAATTTACTCACGTTGACCAGTTGATTCCATTCTACTAGCTGTGTTGACGGTGTCACCAAAGAGGCAGTACCTCGGCATAGTCAGCCCTACTACACCAGCCACACATGGACCTACGAAAATCGCAAAAACTCAGAAACCAAACATAAGTACTCTCCCCTCAAAAATGTTGACAATAGGAAATCCCCTGTTGGATCAAATGATAAACATCGATTAAAAAAAATACATCAAAGTAATCATTTCCGAACAAGTGTAAGGTAAAGATCCTGTAATAAATATCTTTGACACACTACAAATTGGGGACTTTCGGAATGTAACACAATATGACACTGGGTGAACCATAATTTGCAATGTGACAATATTCAGATCCCAATTTTATGTATAATTTTATGGTACATAATTGAATATGGTCTCTAAATCAAATAATACATTTAAACACGAGATCTTGCGGAGGAATAACAAACCTGTATGTAGTCCTATTCGAACTCTAAGTGGAATGTCAGGATTGTGCCGTATAACAAACGTACCACAGCCACTAAGTAAGTCAAGGGCCATATGCGAAATCTCCCCAGCGTGCCTGTTACCGTTTCGCACTGGCAAACCACTTGCACACATATAAGCATCACCTATTGTCTCAACCTGTAAACAAATATAGGCATCACCTATTGTCTCAACCTGTAAACAAATATAGGCATCACATATTGTCTCAACCTGTAAAGAAATATAGGCATCACATATTGTCTCAAGCTGTAAAGAAATATAGGCATCACATATTGTCTCAAGCTGTAAAGAAATATAGGCATCACATATTGTCTCAACCTGTAAACAAATATAGGCATCACATATTGTCTCAACCTGTAAAGAAATATAGGCATCACATATTGTCTCAAGCTGTAAAGAAATATAGGCATCACATATTGTCTCAACCTGTAAACAAATATAGGCATCACATATTGTCTCAACCTGTAAAGAAATATAGGCATCACATATTGTCTCAACCTGTAAAGAAATATATGCATCACATATTGTCTCAACCTGTAAAGAAATATAGGCATCACATATTGTCTCAACCTGTAAAGAAATATAGGCATCACATATTGTCTCAACCTGTAAAGAAATATAGGCATCACATATTGTCTCAAGCTGTAAAGAAATATAGGCATCACATATTGTCTCAACCTGTAAAGAAATATAGGCATCACATATTGTCTCAACCTGTAAAGAAATATAGGCATCACATATTGTCTCAACCTGTAAACAAATATAGGCATCACATATTGTCTCAAGTGCTGAAGGGAAATGATGAACAATATTCCAGATACATGTAACACAGAAAATAAGAAAATTACAAACATGCATCTAAGAACACGTGTATATGAATCATGAAGAAAACAAACTCCACTTATCCCAAACCATGACATAACGTGATAAGAAACAATGTCTAATACCCTGTCCCCCACAATTCATTTTCTAGGTATTTATATTATATGTTTCTCAACAACTATAGATGAGAGGTTAACATGAAATTTTAGAATTCGTTTTGATTGAATCCGAGACATTCACAATTCACTAACAATATGCATATCAAGTCTGATAAGTTAAAAGTGTCAAAAAGTAGACAATTACTTTTAGAGGGGAGTGTACACAAACATTTTAATTTACCTTGTAAACATCGTGGCAATCAATATGCATATCAAACATTGTATATAGGTCGTTGAGAAGGTCAACGACTTGCATTGGAGAGCTCATGGCACTGATAGTTGTGAAACCAACGATATCACTAAAGTATATGGTAACTTCATCGAAATGTTCCGCCGCGACAGGATCACCTATTTTCAGACTCTCGGCAACAGTTCTGAAACATAGAGGTCCACGTTCAGTATGCGCTTGTTGTGTTTGTGAATGTACATATTTATTGCCCTTTATGAAGAGGAGATACATATGTACAATGTACAATGAAAATGATGCCAATATAACATTAATGTTTAAATGTACATAGAATATAAATGTATTCAATATATATATAAAACACACTTTACACATTATGTATTATTACTATTACAACAATTAGCCAAGTTCATATTAAAATAAAAATATTCGTCCCCTCACTATCAAATTGTTACAGCAGTACCATTTTGACATTACACAATTTAAAATAATACAAAGTTTAATGAAATAACAGAAAAGCAAATCCAGTGTAACTACATACGGTGGTAACATCCGTGTGAGAAGCTGGTCTGTCTTTTTCTTTTCATCCTCTAGCTGCATGGTTCGATCTCTCACGATATTCTCGAGATCAGTAGAGTATTTCTCCAGCATCTTGAACATTGTGTCAACAATATTTGTTTTCCTGAAAGATTTACGAATATAAATATTGTGCATTACCATACGTTTGGTTTCAAATTAGCAGTATACAGGGTGCCCACCTGGTCTCTACAATTTACACAATGTTTGTATTGTAATTGTAAAAATACTTTATGGGTACCCTGTACAAGAGGTAACTCTTTCAGTAGAGAATTGGAATATTGGAGTTACAAAAAGAAATTGAGATCAGTTTAAAATATTTGAGGGAAAAGATCGACGCCAAACAAATCTAAACGCCAAATTAATTGGGATCTGAGAACAGAGGACATACACGTGTGTATATACATTATTTTTAATTTATTTATTTTTATTTCAAAGAAAAAACATATTAAAGCAATTGCAAAAAAAAATCAATTACAATACAGTTACATAGTAAACATACATTTTACAATTTTACAATATACAGTATTGGTTAAACATTATTCTCTTTACTAATTGTTCCAGAGTGAATAAATTTTAATCAAATAATCATAAAATCCCGCGTTCGTACTTTCCCTTTGTCTGTTCTCTGAACTGTTGATAGATCTGCTCAAAAGAGGGCCTCATTTCTGACATCTCGCACCAACACTGTTTCATAATCTGAATATACTGAGGAGGAGCCTCTTTCTGAGATACAGATGGACGAATCAGAGGCGGGGGTTTGCGGATCTTTTTTATTATATCTGGAAATGTAATGTTAACATTCTATTCATGCCTATTTATTTTGAATGTTGATTAGTACAGTATTAATGATTAATATCATAAAGAAATAATACAATATAGTTAATAAATTATCTCTACTTCGTAAAGCTGACCTTGATGGTTTTTGATATATATAATTCAGATAAATAGGTCTCAACGAATTGGACATGACGGGTACAGGAAAGACGTGAGAATGTATTTTAAAGTAAACATCGTTTTATACGGAAACCGAATCGTCTAATTTGTCGGTCGTATTTCACCCATGCCTAGGCTTAGTTTTTTCTGTTATTTTGAAGATAGCCTTTAATATAAACTGAACTACAGTGCTGGTATATATTAATTGATTAGTCGTTTAATTGGAATATTTCATTGAATTTTAACATTTAATGTCCCAAACTTCCACAAACTGCAGAAAAGTATACCCCATAAATCATATTTACCAAAATGAGTGTCCCCAAGGCTTCACACCAGCGTATGCATAATGCATTTGTCACGAGTTTGAGCTGAAATTTCGCCAAAATGAAGTAGGCTAAGGGTAGTCTCTGCCAGGTTTGTTTGTTGTGGTAAGCTTGTAAGTGCTCAGAAGCAAATAATTCATGTGCGCAAAATAATCAAATAATCTGATTGGTTTAAACTTTGCTGCACATGCGGACAATGTGTGCCATGTTTTTTTCTAGTGATTTCGTTTCGTTTCATGGAGTTTGCGTTTCAGTGTAACTTCCGCAAAAATGGCGGACCATGAACAGAATTAACAGGTAAAATCACTTCGAAATTTCAACAGAACTTTTTACCTATAATAGCAAAACTTTTGTTTTATTTGTTCATTCTATCCATCAGATAAGAGTTTCAGGGGTATGTAGGCAAATTCATTTTGGTAGGAGCACTCTGTTTAGTTTGAAAACGCACCCTTTATTATTATATATCAGCACTGTACTTATCTGGCACATCCTGTACTTTACCTTCGGCACTGAGTTCCATCATACAGTAAGGGTAACCTCTAAGAATGAGTTCTTGCATAACAATTGCAAAACTATATACGTCTGCTTTCTGAGAACCTGTCTCCATTAGTAGCGGATCCCTAAGACACTCAGGCGCTGTCCAAAGCAATTCTAAAACAGACAACAAAATACCGTCATGGGGATATAAATATACGTCATTCATGCAGCATTCTGGACCATTTGATTTACATAACCCTCACTATATTATTGAAAATTAAATACAAAATCAGATTCATTCAGAACTGAAACGTTTCCATTAGAGCCCATGCACATACCTTTAGCTTGTCGCTCTGGTTTAACCTGATAGATAGAATGCATACGTTTGACCCCGAAATCTGTGACCTTGAGTTGCCAGCGGGAATCTATGACGCAATTTCCTGACTTTAGGTAGCCATGTACCTTTATTGGACTTGAGTGGAGGTAGCGCATTCCCTAAATACAATAACAGGCAACGATTGTATAACGGCAACCGGAAATGGCCGAAGATCAAGCCCTAACCCTTCAAGGAATTTGATTGGCTCCTTGAGGCATCTTCGGCCATCTTCGTGATAGAGATTCTGGTTGCGATGGTATCTCATACAAAGACGTGTTAATTCAGAGCTTATCAATTACTTACATTTTTACTTATTGAATATATTTGATCACAAATAATTTAATCTTGCCCTTGCGACTCCTTTTCAGATAGTTAGAAATATGGAAAATATAGCGATTCAATCTGACATCTTATAATGTATTCACAAGTTATTAAAATGATAAGAGTTTCATCTTTTCGTTTTCTTGTAAATTTTTCGTTAAAATTTCATTACTGCAATCGACTCACTCATTTGTTAAAACTGACCTTTTACACTACTAAAATTAGAACATTTTATAAATACCCTGACGAGGTCTGTGAGCAGCGATAATTTAAAACTCCAGTCGAGTTTAATATCTTCGTTGTGTATGACATCCTCTAGACTTCTCCTACTGCAGTATTCTACGATGAAAGCGGGTCGTAGGGGGTCGATGTAACAGCCCATGAATGCTGTTACATTTTCGTTCCTAATATCTCTCAACTAAATAAAAGATGTTAAAAGATAAGTCAACGAATTTTACTTATCTGCCATCTTTAAATCAACGCTTCAATAATTTTGATGAACTTTAGTATAAATACACTTCTGTTTTACATAGTGCTAAATGTATAGGGTTTTCAAAATTTCCAGGGGGGGGGGCTCACATTTGACAATTTTGGCCCAAATATCATTTGAGAAGTGCTCAAAATGGTGAAAAACTGCATGGTTTTGAAAGATCTTTTGACCAGGGGGGGGGGGGGGTTCGCCCGAACCCTGCGAACCTCCCTGGCTACGGGCCTGGAATGTATGAACCCCCTCTAAACTCGTACATGTAGCATTTACATCCATATCATGTTATCAAATGGCAAATGTATTATAATTAACTTAATATAAGAAGTACTACTTGCCTGTTTTATCAAAACCATCGCTTTGTTTTTCACCTCGAATCCCTTTATATCCAATTCCTTTACATACACCAAGTCACCCTGAAATATAATGGAATGGTTACCATCGCAACGACAGTCGCTAAGTTATAATACATGTACATCACAAAGTAAAAATATAATTCTCAGAATAAACCAGCACTTGAAATGTAATTGGCATACACACGTTGAGATCAATGTTAAGCTTGGGATATTTAAAGATGACAGATAGCATTAAAATTTTGATTTTGACTTTTACATAATAAGTAATTTTTGAGTAGTTGGTGTTTTTTATATAAAATCAAACAGACATTAAAAAATTTACCACTTTAATTTTTTCCCGATCTTGAATGCACTTTCAGGGGGTTCACTTACGTTTAGACGAGCAGTTTCAGAAATATTGTTGCATTCCCCCAGTTCTCCGAATTCACTGAGACTTGACATGGACCCCGTATGCATCGATCCTTTAAGTAGATCTGGCTTCTCAAAGATGGCGCTCTGAAGGCTCTGCAAAAGATGCACTGTATCATTAATCCATCCCAAAAAAATTAATCCATTTTGTTAGCAATATGTATTAGTGTTAAAAGGGTCACTCTAGATTAAAAACAAATATAGTGAAATGTGTTTATTAATTGAATTGCTGTTGAGTAATTAATTCATGTTTCTAGTAATGCATCGTTTAATGATATATTCATGTATTGTATATGTCATGCTTGTTCAATTAGTATAATGTATATAAATAGAGAGCTGTCGTAATAGAGACATGTGTTACACAGCCCAGCTGAAACATTTTATATGTTATTTCCATATCTTTGTTATAGCCACAACAAGAAGCTCTAAGAAGCTCTAAGAAGCTCTACTGTATTGAGCTTCTTATATTTATCTCCAAGCATGGCTTTATAATATACATATCAGTTATAAAATATAATAGCATAAAATATGACAATATAGTGGCATGGTTCAAAATGATACATGTTACTAGATACAAGACAACTAGTAAATGCTTACATGTGAGTCATATTATGTAAAATAATTATAACATGAAGATAGAACTATTACTTCCAAAAGTTATGGAGATTTCATGGCGACGTCCATACTTTTTGGATAATGGGGGCCTTGTAAATTATATATTAGATTACACACCCTGAAACTACGACCTTGTTCTCGCCTGTTGACGAACGTTACGTCGTCAGCTGTCAGCAGGACTTTGTTTGGACCTCGAGACAGCTCGCGTTTGTGAATACGTCGCCTGAAATGAAACATGTCTGTAAAATATTGATATAATATAAAGAAAGTGTAGTGTCCATAAAGTCTCTAAAATCCAATAACAATATAGTCTGTTTTGAAGTGTAAAGAGACTTAATATGGAAAATGGCCTGTTTTATATTCTTTGGAGTATCGAATCATTACTATAAAAATGAAATTTGAAAAACACAGACCAACACAGTTCAAACAATGATTTATTATCCAGAGACATATAAAACATTTATATGGCTCTGATTTATCGTACAAGTACAGTACATAGACCCCATCCCCGTGTATAACATGAATATGAGAGTTATCTCATTACTTCGTGTCGAATAGCCATTAAAGAAGCAACCGCTACGTGCAACATGACTAATTCATGTATACTCTTTCTAATTACTTACCTGATTATGAAAGAGATGACGATGGCGCCAATTGTTAGCATCACAGACGCCAGAATAATCAGAATATATTCCACAGTAGAGCAAACTAAAACATGCGAAACAAAACATATTAACAACTATAGTCCTATTCAAAGGTATCTATTGTCTATTGAGTACTTTCAATTTAAAAAATTAGCAGTCAAATGACTATTTTGCAACAGTATGAAAATAGAAACATATACAGGGCAAAACTTTTGTATATTTCAGATAGTTAGGTATGTTTAGCAAAGCTGTGGCCTTTTGTAATTTAGGGGAGTTTCAGCCATGTCAATTTTTTCGAAAGTAACATGGCAGAGGAGCATTAAAATATAAGAGGTCACGCATATGATAGCCAAACTACAAAACAAACCAAAATATATAAAAGTTTGGCCTTCTTCAAATGCTTTTATTTTTTCATACTCAGTATACTGTTGCAATATGGCCTGTTGATAATAGTTTATTTCTTAGATTCAAAGTACTCAATGGAATTATGAATCTGACTTGATGTAAATCTTAAATTAGACAAGATAAGTCACTGTTAGAGAGTTGTGATAATTCTTTGTTTACTATTTTGTAATAAATGTGAATTCGACTTTTGCAAAGAACTCACGGCAAAGCAATCTGAGAACTTTTTCATACAATCGATTATTATCTTTAAATCAGAATGCTAGCATTAAATGATCAATTATTTAAAGATGGCGGTAAAACTGTCAATTAATGTTTTTACCGAGCTCATTGGAACAATCTGTGCCCTTGAAACATCGATCTGCTTTAATTGGTGAGCCTTTCGGCCAGTCAATGTGTGCCCCAGGAGTTAGGGTTACGTCGCCAAAATGGCCAATCGTCATTACTCGACTGTACTGCATCATATTTGGATTGTAATCAAGTAATTCGAAGTCAAACACTCGCTCGGAGTGAGCATCGAGTAATATACCACTGTTATCACGTTTGACATATGTGGACGTTAACATCTCTTTAATTGAGTCAGGAGTGGCAAATGTCCCGGATGTGTGAAGAAGATTAACTGCATACGCGGCGAGATACACCGCCGTGGAATAAAGTTCCTCTATGCCTGTCACCTAGAAATATCAATACGGTTATAAATGCAATCACAATTCGTCAATAGAATAATCCATTGTCATAAATAACCAGGAATAGAAGTACATCGTGGAATATCCTTGTATTATTGAATGAAATTAATGAGTTTTTGCGCTGTGATATTTTTTTTAGGAAACTCAATCAATATTACTTGTCATTCTGTTTTTTATTGAATGCTACATCAACCGCTTTCTCTAATGGCATTTCTATTTCAACGCTCAATTATCCAGAATTAGCAACATTCTTAATAATCTATTTGTCTCATATCAGTGATATTTTACAACATGAATGTCAAATATTATTTATAATGTTTCAAAAACAACCGTTCTCTTAAGCAACATATAAATTCTATTTAAAAATGCAATAACTTTAAAGCACATGATGCTTTGTCTATGTGAGATGAATTGTAACAATAAGAAGTTAAAAGGGATATGGTGTTTACACTGTTTGAAAGAAATATTTGAAAGAAACACGCCATTGCATGTTTTTCGTACAGTACTGATCTTATTTTCTGAAAAACAGAATGAGACCAATTGAAGATTTGATTCTAGATCTAGAAATGTCAAGATACATTAGAATTGTGCCAATAAATGGAAGGGTTGTCTTGTAATAACGTCAAAACTGCGAACTTTTCAAAAATAGGCTAGGCATTGAATATTGAAAGCAGGTATTTAGTTCCAAACTCACTTTCAGCTCAATCTCTTCTACTTTCTTATATGGTTTGTTAAGCACAAACGCATGCAAAGATTGTGGTGCTAAATTCGAAACTTGGACTTCTAACCTATTAAAAGATCCCTCGTAGGGTAAACCTCTAGTCTTTCAATGTTCATAAAAATAGAACCAGACAGTATGTGTTTCCCTAAAACAACACATGTTTAATTATTATCCATGCGAAATATGATGCAAAAGGAATTAAAATTGATGACATCTACAAGACTTTTTGGCCAAACCTCGTACACAAGATATCTTTTGATTGTTATGTTCCTTTAAACTATTTTGATTGAATCATTTCAGCAGAAACGCTTCTAGATGTCCGATATAGTTTATAACAAGATATAGCATAATGAACATTTCAGCATCCCGACACTTAGAAGATTGACTTGAAACTTTCCAGATCGTAATTAAATTGCTCTGTTATAAATATTTTGTTTTTGTTATGTTATTATTTATTTTTCCAAGGGTAACATACGTAAGATCGATTATGCAGTAAGTGAAACGCTTAAAAACACAAAATGTGTTTGTTTAATTTGTTTTTAACGTGTCAAGAGCAATAGGTTTAAGCAATAGGTTTAAGAGTACACAGGTATCGCTATAACAAGATCGGGTGTACCGAATCTGATATTTTATCATCTATGCTGGTTATTGGCATTTTGAACAAGTGCTGCATTTATTTAATTATTGACGTACAGTAATTCAAGGATAAAGACAAAACAGTAACAAACCCTAGTTCCGAATTCATTACTTTCTTTTGCATTCATATATAGTATCCCAGTCAAATGGTCAATTTTGCTAAATAAAGCCCCCATAAAAGGCCTTTAACAACTTTAACCATTTGGAATTATGTAAAATATGACTGTCTAATAACTACAAATTTATACCTTCTCGCTATTAACGCTTCTGTCGACTCTAGTTGTCATTTGAGGATTTGTTTCATTGTAGTAAACATCGTCAAATTCCCATATGGTTCCAGCAGATGGCGCTGTAGGTTGAAGTATGAATAGGGCTGCGTCGGGTATTATATGAGTATTGTTTGGCAAGTATTCAGTTGGCATTGTAAAGAACACCATATCGTGAAGAATGTCCTTCATTTTCTTTGCAGTTTGTATGAATTCGTTAACTCTACTATCCTCCATACATAGTATTGTGGCTACAAACAGAACAAGTTGTGCAAGATTATGACATACAATGCGACACAGAGTGTGTACCAAAATACCTTAGTATGCGTGACAGTTAACGCAAAGGGTAAGGTACAAAATGAGGGTGGTGAGCAAGCCAACGTTATCATGATATCTGGTTAGTGCCCGTAAAACATTAGTTGACAAAGATAACTGTACAATTTGAAGGATCTTTTCCATAATGGGGTGTATAGTTTTAGCAATGCAACATGTCACCGCATCACTCGCCGATCGCCATACGCCAAACACCAACTGCCGAACACCGTCCACAAAAAGTTTTAGACAAAACTAATATGTCACTACTTCTTGTGATGACATAAAAACTAAACATAAATAAACGATGAAATTATCCCTCTGTTTAAATTGCACCTAAACGCCTGGTGAGAATGACCGATCTTTAAATAGGCTGCTCTGTATTCAGCTAAGTTAATGTCACTTTGCTACCAGGATTCCCAGTTTACATATTATTTACAAATTGATCTAATTATCTATACTCAATTCAGAGAGAAACATATTTCAAGCGACTACAATCATTAAATCATGCTAAATGTTACGGCACCCAAGGGTACATCGAAACCTTGCAGTCATAAAGACCTATTACAAAAAAAAAAATTTAACAGTTTTGAGCGGTGAATGTTTCCCCCTTTTCAAAATTGCCATTTTACTACTTACAAACTTTTGTAAATATTTCATGTAGAAACACTTTTTAAAACCTCGTGAATACAAAGCATTATTATTTTTGCCAGTTTTTGCCGCTTATTTTCTTAATTTACACCATTAAGTGTTCATTTTGATGATATTAGTGAACATGAACCAATTATGCACATTTTGATGATTTGCGTAAATTGATCAACGTTTGTAAAGGATAGCCATAATAGTTAAGCATATTCTGCGAATTTTAGTCTCGGTATTCAAAGGGTTTGAATAATGGAAGTGCCACTGCCAATGTTGTCTAATGATTTGCCTCTGTCAACAGTTAGTGTCTATAAATTGTCTTAATCAGCGCCAGTTGCTTATTATCCCAACGAACGAAGTTCGGTAGGGTTATAGTGAAGCCCTCCGTCCGTCCGTCCGTCCGTCCGTCCGGAAGATAACTTTAATACTGGTCAACGGATTTTCTTCATATTTGGTGGAAAGATGTATATTGGTGAATAGTTGTACGCAATTCAAAATGGCCGCCTTATGTGAGATTTCGCAATAATTGTCTGATCCCTTTAAAATATGGCTATATTATACTCAAATTGAAGGAAGTTTAGGGTATAGATCATTACTAAGGTATTGTATTTTTTATTTGTGCCTCAGAAAATTCAAAATGGCTGCCAACAGGAATTTGCGTTAATTTTGATATCTTTCTGAAGTATTGCTTTATTATACTCAAATGAAAGGCAATTTAGATTAGATTGCAAATATTGTATCGGTTTGTAATTTGGGCCTCGTAAAATTAAAAATGGCCACCGCCTTATGTGGAATTTCGCAATCATTGTCTGATTTCTTCAAAGTTTGGCTATATTATTCTCAAATTGAAGGACAAGGCGAGATTGCTATTTTGGTATTGTTTCCCGGACCTGTGCCTCAGAAAAGTCAAATCGTCTTTATTATTTGTGCCTAAATGCTTTTAAAATTGGTAGAAATTCTGATAGATCTCCAATGTTTATATTTTTTGTGACAAATACAGATTCATATATGTTATAGTGTTCGTTGGGGTTTGCTACTCTGTGGAGTTGCCGTTTTCTAGTTTATCCTAATATAACCTCTATGTCAATATAACCATTTTATATAATTGACGAGTACCTAAATTAATTGTGAAAGCACCTCTCGATGGTATTCAAATCCTGAAACTGTTTCTTTTGCTTTAGACATGCTAAGCAAGGTGGGAATGACCGATATCATCGTCCAATACTGTAAAACACTTCGCAGACATCACGAAATTCGCGTGAATGTAAAATTGATTCAGGATATCGCGAATTTGAAATTGTATTCCTGGCACATATCAAGGCTCTTCAAAATCGCCAAAAACCATAAGTTCGTAGCAGTTATCTCAGCTCATCCACGATGACCGAGCGCAATGATTTAGGCAATGACTTTTAGATCAGTGGCACATAGTTAAACTAGTGCAGCAGTTAAAACATACAATACATGTGTACAAGCACAAGATGCATAGGCCGCATCCTCAAGCATCCCTTCTAAACCATTATTGGGAATACATGTCTTAAAATAATTGTATTCCTGTGTTTCTGGCCTTTAAAATAATTCCATCGATTCATATATCCCATAGTAATGTTTAACATCAAGTATTTCCAAGTTAAAAATCATTTGCATATTTATCAAATCGCCTCCAATGAATCCAGTCAAAGAAATATTTTTCTTTTCTTACTTCAATCCACAGATTGTGCCAATATGACACCCAATACTAAAGAACGATTTATTGATTTATTTTGTCTTCAAACAAATCTAATCAAAGCCATAAAACAATAATGTTGCTAAACATACAATAATGTTGCTAAACATACAATAATGTTGCTAAACATACATGTTTTAATCGGAAACATCTGACCAGAAATGAAATATTTTGTTAATACAAATAAATTTTTTGTAATAAATGGATAATATTATGTGAAAATTCACGTCGATAAAACTGCGAACATCAGCTTGTATATGTTTGGTCGAGGAAAAAAGCGGATCTTTTGCAGAGAAAATCAATCAATTGAACCATATCCTGGCCTACATGTCGTTTTAAAATCGAGTTAACCAGTTCAAGGTTAATTACTTATCTGCCTTTCGTTCTGCCGTGCCATCATTCACGATAAATAGTAATAGGGACACGCTTACTATATGCTGAATAAAATCGTAATCGTATGAGGCAGAAATATAAAAGACAAACAAATTACCAGTACTGAAATTTTGAGATGAATTCAAACTTGATAACGTTTTACAAGATACACATTTATTTTCTTTAATTTCCAAAAACATCTAACCCACTGAACGATATCTAATATCTAATTAAAATTGCCGGTCATTAATTGCATTCTTGACCGGCAATATGGACCACCACTATGACGTCACATATTGCTCAGCAGGTCAATATTGTACAAATAGTGACTGCCATTGAGGGAAATAGTGCATAATATTTTCCTCAAGGGAATATCCTGTCCACTGATATGTTCCCGAGGCTGCAGGCCGAGGGAACAAGTCAGTGGACAGGATATTCCCGAGAGGAAAATTTTTACACTATTTCCCGAAAATGTGACAGTCACTATTTGTTTTATTATATACCTGATAAGTACTCTGTAAACAAAAACAAAATGAGAAGTCTTTTCATTTCAATATCAAATGTTCACAGGTTCTTATTGGCATTTAAAGGCATTTTACCTTTCAACTCCTATAATCTCAGATTTGGGGGAAGATAAGATGTACTATTGACTGGTCACATGACCTAACTGGTGATTAGTACAATTCATCTTCCCCGAAAGCAGGGATTTAGGACTTTCCAGGGAATTAGTTCATCTATTCCATGTCATGTGACCATGAATAAGCCAATGAGCATCTAGAATACATTTGAGGTATATAATAAAGTAAAATGAATGCCTTCTAAACTAGCACTAAAACCCCTAGAACTGGCCCGACAAGGTGGTAATAATATAAATTAATGAATAGCAGGGTTACCAAAACTTTTGAGGGCAGTGTATTTTGCGCTGGGTAATATGGTAATATAATACTACTGTCGAGTAATTGACAGTAATGCTTAATAGAATGAAAATTAGGAAATTATTGTCTTCGAAAATCTGATAGGCTTTTAAAATTATTGTTTGTAATAATGGAATTGGCTTCATTATGACCGCTTATGCTTCTCAATGGTCAATTTTCGATGAACATTTGTAATGTCTCAAACGAGAAGTAACACCAAACTAATACATCAAACGCCTTGTTTGTAATGATCCTCGATGACACGTTACTACACAGTCTCAGCTGGAGTGGCCATTTAGCCCTTATTGCTCTGGAGTTGAGCATCGAACTCTCGAGCGGAGTGTCCTGGGTTGGACGATCGTCCTCGGGGTCGTTACATTGGTGTCTTATGTGTGATTTTCCCTCGTGTATCAGCGTGTCGTCCTTCAAGGGATGGTGTTATGACCGTCGAAAACAAGTTGCAACTACGGTCTCGGTGGCTATATAACCCTCATGGCTCAGAGGTAGAGCATTGGATTCCGAAGTGAAAGGTTAGGGCTCCATCCCCGCAAAGGACATAGAGGAAACCCAATAACATTTTCAACCACGTCCAATGCATTCCAAAACTGTTTTTAAAAGCTTGTTCAGTAACATGTTCCAAGAAAATTCTCCTTCGTGTTTTTTAATCGCAACTTGTTCACAAACTCGATTATTAAATCAATAGAATACTAATAAATTGTTTGTCAATTTTTCTGTGGGTAATATGATATTTATGATAATCTCATTATCTTAGTGTATCCGGGATATTTTTTCTGTCAGGTCAATTCGACCCGAGTTTTATATACATATCGAAAAATTTAAAGGGAGTTACAAGTGCATTCAGTTCACCATTCCAACTCTTCCTCGATACATCTGGAGTATTTTTGCCCGATAACATTATCAGTGAGTATCGAGGACATCTATTGGTCATCTGGTCATCATTGTAAACCAGAGGGAGCCACCAAATCAGCACATTGTCTTTGAATAAAAAGGTGGTAGCAAATCATCGAATTACGAGTGCGTTAAGTACACTATATACATAACATGTTTAAGATCCGTGTCGAGGAATAATGCCTCTAATCCTGCAAATATGTACAATGTCCTTGAAAGGTAATGGATTCTGCGTCGCCAAAGCAGCAATTTGTATTCCGTCAGAGACTTTGGCGACAGATGTGTTAGAAAGGATAACAACCAGTATATTCTGGTAATTGTCCATTAATAAGGTACATACGGCAATAACGACCAGAACCACTGTCTATAAATGTCATTG